TTCTCCACCAGCTTCTCCCCTCCTCCTTCTCCACCAGCCTCTCCCCTCCTCCTTCTCCACCACCTTTTCCCTTCTCCCCTTCCTCCTTCTCCCCTCCTTCTCCACTAGCTTCTCCCCCTCCTCCACCACCTTCTCCCTTCTCCCCTCCTCCTTCGATCTCCACCAGCTTCTCCCCTCCTCTTTCTCCACCACCTTATCCCTTCTCCCCTTCCTCCTTCTCCACCAGCTTCTCCCCTCCTCCTTCTCCACCACCTTCTCCACCATCTTCTTCACAGCTGGAAGTGACGTCACGAACACGCGATTACATCTGATTAGTTATAACACAAACCACGTGATAAAATATGCAAATTATCTCCTGTACCGGCCTGAATATAGACAAACCCTTTCGAACTACTGGGTTCGAACTAGTTTCGTAAACATTCGTTTTCTGTTATCTTGAACTAGGCGGAAGTGTGGATTAGCTTGTGGCGCCACCACTTATCTGCCATAGACAAAGCATATGGCTCTCTCAAATCACGCACTTGTTTTCAATTAATCACCGACACAAATAAAAGTACCAATTCTGCCATTACTATTAGGCATTGTCGCGACACGATAAAATGCATTGCTGTTACGATGTGTTCATATCCAATTTTCTATGCTATAACTGCATAAAATCTTAGTATTTTTAATGTTGGTGTAATCAGTGATATTTTCGCTGTCAGGTGAGACTATATTCAGCTATATTTAGTTTTTCTGAGCAAAAATCTCGCAATAGTCATTTTAATAATGTAGGATGAAAAAATGAGGACATGCAAATACTTTCTACTTATAGTTACTATAAGAAATGTTAAAGTATTGCAATCGATGCAAAATAACAATTGAACGATTATGCTGAAAACCCACCGTTAAAATGTACTGCTTAATAGCAAGTTTATGCCTACACAATTACAATGAAATTGAAGTCGGTGGGTGACATGACCAGGCAGCACATACTATTAATACTATATTTGAAAGTATAACAGCTCATTAGGACAATACGAAGAAACAAAATTTGAAACGGTTACGTATCCATGGAAGGCACGACTCAGTAGCAATTAACTTTCCACAGTAATAAGCAGTCCTCACACATCTTGTGCAAGGAGACAGCTTCAGAGTCAAAACATTCGCAGCAACTGACGTACCGATGCATGCTAGTCGCCACGTCTGCAGGAAACACGTTACACTCTCACGCTAGTCAGTGTATCTGCAGCAGGTGACATGCCAAACCAGGTTACTGAACATGCGCGCAGGCACAGGGTATTATATAGGTGATAACGCTGGTGTCGACGTGCCCGCAGCACCTGGTAACGGTGCGAGACGACGAGATAACGACTTTGCGACAGGTAACGTCTTCGTAGAAGGTAATGTGACCACACCAGGTAACGCGTCTGTAACAGGTAAGGTATCAGCGGCTGCAGCCAACGTATCCGTGACCGCAGGTAAGCTACCTGCAACAGGTAAGGAATCTGCAGCAGCAGGCGACATCTTCTCAATAGGTAACATGCTCACGGCAGGCAACGTGTCTGTTGCAGGTAACATGCCTTGAAGGTAGGTGACATACACATGTACTTCAGCCATAAACAAGCCTACTCACAATACCTGTGCTTATAAAATATTCTATGAATACAGTCGAAATATTTCAGGTGTCTTTCTCCTTAGAGAGAACTACAGCACACGAAAGACGATACCCGAAATCCTTGGGATGCCATAATTGTAATTAATGGTGCATATAAAATCTTTGAAGTTGTGCACATGAGGCTCTGTTATACCTACTTTGCACATGAAATACAAATACTTTCAAGCGCATTTTAATGAAGACCATCTATATTATACACGGTCCAACATGCTTGATAATGCATTCTGTGATCGTGTATACGGGGTTTGTACCTATCTTAGATTACAAAGGATCAACTGAAGTGCGTGTAGAGAGATCAGCAGACAAATAGTACCACGGATCATAAAACCACATATAATGCTCAATTACATGTAATAACAATATTTGACAAAAATTATTGCCAACAGAAAGTCATAAATATAATTTACATTCTTTTTAGGAATGCTTGTCAGGACTTTGACCTCCACCATCACACTTTAGTCAAACCCAAATATCTAAAGAATAGAAACAAAAGTAAACACGTTGAAAAGTTATTCATGCATAAACCATAGCAATGTAAAATTGGTAACTTGGCCACACGGGACAAGCAAGGCTCATCAGACTTACTCAATATTCCAGAAAAATGTCGATTAAATGGTGTATATACCCAATAAATAGAGAAAGCTTGGGTAGATTAAACAATACAGTACACGAAAAATTCTCTACAACAAGCTACCTTTGTATAGTTATACATACTCAGCACCAACTTTAAATGACAGACACTACACGCGATAACGATCTATAACAGTATAATCACGCGACAACCCAGCCATTAGGTCAAGCGCATATGCCTGCCTAACAATTTCAATTATTCACGGTTCCACGTCATGCTTAACTACATTACAACAAAAGCAATAAATTGAATTATCAGATCTGTTTACTATAAAACAGAAATTTGATCATATTAAAATTAAATGAGTACACCGTTGAAGCCCAACATTACACTCTACTGGCTTTTGAACATAGAAATGATAAATAGATTTAATCAACCAATCATCATGGATGTATAAAACATCTTTGAAGGCTTACATAAACCTCCATATGTTAGTTGGGAGGTGTACTTAAACAAGAGATTCCACCACAGATTACCTTTATTAAATAATAAAATATTGGTTTTACACCAAATGCATATTATCACCAGAAATGCAATCTAAACGTGGAAACATTGTCTCCAATACCAAATAGCAAGTGCTATAAAATTAGTGATAATGCATCTTATTGGCACACTGTCTACCATTGTTGTGTTATATGGTTAGGCATAGTTCTAGCATAGACAAATATCAATAACTGATATGCGCAGGTTTTTATGGTATAATAAATATTTATCAGACAACTGGCTTAATGGTTGTTTTAGAAACAGTGCGAAACCTAGGACTGCCCCTGTTCAATTTCATTACTTAATTCAACAGCTTCATTTACCACTTCATCTACCGATTCTGTTGCATCACTGGTAACTTTGTTGCTCGTATCTACAGTATCTGAACTGGCAATCACCACTTCTCCACTATCCACCGGCATTTCATCAGTTGCACTTGCAGATGCACTTGCATTTTCACACACAGCATTTTCACTCGCTTCGGCAGTATCTCCACTGGTATCCAAAGTGTCTCTACTCTCATCTGCAGTGTGTACACTTGCACATACAGCAATTTCACCACTAACTGCTGTTTGCTCAGTGGGACTAGCAGGTTCCTCACAACCAACAGGCCTATCCACAACTGCGCTACTCTTCTGACGAACCTCTTCTGCAATAGATGTATTCGCAGAATCACTTTCATTAGATGGTGCTTGTTTGCCGGGGACTGGTGGGGACATTATCTCGCTGGATGGTTCTTGTTGCTGCTGGTCATCAACAGTTACAGAGTCAGCTGTTTCATCAGCCTGCGTGGATTCATCAGGATGATCCTCCGATGCAGCTTCCGTTTCTTGCTGCCGCGGTACAAACTCTGGAGGAAGTACGGCCGCGTCAGTAGAACTCAGTGGCGTGATCCTATCACTGAGATCCACCACAGATCCGGGACCACTGTCGACGTCAGCAGACATTTCCTGCAGGTCGTCGTCCCCTTCAACGACAACGGCATTGGAAGGAGGAGTACCGCTCATGTCCTCCTCATCGTCCTTTTTATCCACAGCTCCCTCCTGCTTATCCTACAATACAAAAATGATACATCAAAAAAAAAAAAATGCAGACTTACACAACCAATGAGATTTGCAAACAAAAAATTTACTAAAGAGAAGTTTACTAAACGAGAAGTTTTTTAAACAAACGTTTTTTTTAAAGTTTACTAAACGGAAGTTTAGCAGCTACACATCTACAGTCTTCATTCGATGGGGAAACTTTTTACACTAGACAGCGATGCTCCAGCTGTGTGCTACATACCGGTGGTGGTAGAATCGGAATTGCTAGCTTGGGTCGTCTTCCTGGTGACCGTTTCTTTATAATCGATGTCTGTGCTTCGGGGGCGTAGTAAGTCACTCCTCCCCTACTGAATTCTGTAGGCGGGGGAGGACCCTGACAAGGTGGGGGAGGACCCTAACAAATAGCCACCAAAACATGGAAGAGATTAATATACCTATAACTGCTGTAATACGATAAACCGAGAAACACAGCAAAAAACTCAACCCACCCCACCCCACCACACCACACCCCACCGCACTCACCACACCAGATCGACTACTTAAAACAACCCTCAAACTACTACACACTTTTAATCCAGGATTAAGTCCTATGTATAACAGAATTCCACTTTAGTCACTAGATCTACGTGGAATTTAGGCAAGAAGAAACTTACCGGTGGTGGTGGAGGGAACTGCATTGGGGACATAGCTGCTTGTGGCAGTGGATATGCTGGGGTGTAACTCACACCACTGCCCTGTGTGCTGCAACACATAATCAATGACCGAATAAGCCACTGTCCTTAGGAGAAACATGAAGTAATTATTGTAACCACACAAGGGCATGCTTATGAGGTCGTATTTGTTATATAGATATGTCAGATAATTTCTGCAATATATGTTACTATAGTTGAACGTGTATATATGTTACTATAGTTGAACGTGTATATATGTTACTATAGTTGAACGTGTATATATGTTACTATAGTTGAACGTGTATATATGTTTACTATGTTGAATCGTGTATATAGGTTACTATAGTTTGAACTGTATATATTGTACTATAAGTTGACACGTGTATATATGTTACTTAGTTGAACGGTGTCATATATGTTACTATAGTTGAACGTGTATATTATGTTACTATAGTTGAACGGTATATATGTTCACTAATAGTTAACGTGAGTATATATGTTACTAGTTGAACGTGTATATATCGGTACTATAGTTGAACGCTGTCATATATGTTACTATAGTTGAACTGTATATATTGTACTATTAGTTGAACGCTGTATATATGTTATATAGTTTGAACGTGTATCATATTGTTACCTATTAGTGAACGTGTATATATGTTACTTAGTTGAACGTGTATATATGTTTACTATATTGAACGTGTATATATGTTACTATAGTTGAACGTGTATTATATGTACTATAGTTGAACGTGTATATTATGTTACTATAGTTGAACGTTATATATGTTACTATAGTTTGAACGTGTATATATGTTACTATAGATTGAACGTGTGTATATGTTACTATTAGTTGAACGTGTGTATCATGTTACTATAGTTGAACGTGGATATATATGTTTACTATAGTTGAACGTCGCATTGTGTATATGTTACTACTACAGTCTGAACGTGTATATATGATTTACTATAGTTGAACGTGTATATATGTATACTTATATTGAACGTGCTCATATATGTTACTATAGTTTGGAACGCTGATTATATGTTACTTATAGTTTGAACGTGTATACTATGTTTACCTATAGTTGAACGTGTTGTTCATTATGTTACTATAGTTGAACGTGTATATATGTTACTATAGTTGAACGTGTGTATATTTACTATAGTTGAACGTGTTGTTACTTATATGTTACTATTATTTGAACGTTGTGTATATGCTCTACTATGTTGAACGTGTTATATATGTTACTATAGTTGAACGTGCTCCTCCTTTCCGGTGTTGTATATTGTTACCTATTAGTTGAACGTGTATATAATGTTACTATAGTTGAACGTGTATTATATGTTTACTTATAGTTGAACTGTAGTATATGTTACTATAGTTGACGTGTTCATATGTTCACTATAGCTGAACGTGTATATATGTTTACTTATAGTTGCGAACTGTGTATATATGTTACTATAGCTTGACGTGTATATTGTTACTATAGTTGAACGTGTAGTATATGTTACTATAGTTAAACGTGTAATATATGTTACTATAGTTGAACGCTGTGTACTATACTGTACTATAGTTGACACGTGTATATATTTACTCATAGTTGAACGTGTATATAGTGTTACTACTAGTTGAACCGTGTATATATGTTTACTACTAGTTGAACGTGTTATAATGTTACTATGATTGAACGATGTATATATAGTTACTATAGTTGAACGATGTATATATGTTACTTAGATTTGACGCTGTATATATGCATTACGATAGATTGAACGTAGTTATCATATGTTACTAAGCTGAACGTGTAATATTATGCTTACTATAGTTTGAACGTTGTATATATTGATTTACTAAGTTGGACTGTGCTGTATTAATATGTTACTAGTAGTTGAACGTGTTATATCGTTACTTATAGTTAACGTGTATATATGTTACTTAGTTGAACGTGTACTATATGTTACTATAGTTGGAAACGTGTATATATGTTTACTATAGTTAACGTGTGATTATGTTACTATAGTTGAACGTTGTCTATATGTTACATATAGTTGAAGACGTGTATATATGTTACTATTAGTTGACGTGTGTATATGTTACTATAGTGAACGTGTATATATGTTACTATAGTTGAACGTTGTATATATGTTCTATAGTTGAACGATGTATATATCGTTACTAATAGTTGAACGCTGTATATATGTTACTATAGCTTGAACGTGTATATATGTTACTAATAGTTGAACGTGTATATATGGTTTACTATAGTTGAACGTGTATATAGGTTACTATAGTTGAACGTGTATATATTTTTACTATAGTGAACGTGTATATATGTTACTATAGTTGAACGTGTGTATATGTATACTATAGTTGAAACGTGTGTATATGATTACTATAGTTTGCAACTGACTGTTGTATATGTTACTATAGGTTGAACGCTGTATATATGTTACTTATAGTTGAACTGTATATATGTTACTATAGTTTGAACGTGTTATATATCGTTACTATAGTGGACGTGTATATATTGTTACTATAGTTGAACGTGCTAAATATGTTACTTGATAGTTGAACTCGTATATATGTTACTATAGATTGCAATCGTGTATATTATGTTACTATAGTTGAACGGTGTATATATGTTTACTATTAGTTGAACGTGTATATATGTTACTATAGTGAACGTGCTTATATATGTTACTATAGTTGAACGTGTGTACTATGTTACTATAGTTGAACGTGTATATATGTTACTATAGTTGTAACGTGTCCTGTTATATATGTTACTATAGCTTGGAACCTGTGTATCATATGTTACTATAGTTGAACGTGTGTATTATGTTACCTAAGTTGAACGTGTATATATGTTACTATATTTGAAGTGTATATTATGTTACTATAGTTGAACGTGCTATATATGTTACTCATAGTTGAACGTGTATATATGTTACTATAGGTTGAACGCTGTATGATATGTACTATAGGTTGAACGTGCGTGTGTATATTTACTATAGTTGAACGTGTGATATGTACTATAGTTGAACGTGTTTAATATATATGTTACATATAAGTTGAACGTTTATATATGTTACTATAGTTGAACTGTGTATACTTATGCTTACTATAGTTTGAACGTGTCATATATGTTACTATTAGTTGAACGTGTACTTAAATATTTACTATAGTTTGAACGTGTATATATGTTACTATTAGATTGAAGTTGTATATATGATTACTATAGTGACGTGTATATATGTTACTATAGTTGAACGTTGTTATTATGTTAGCTATAGTGAACGTGTATATATGCTTACTATAGTTGACACGATTGTCATATATGTTACTATAGCTTGAACGTTCGTATATTAGTATTACTATAGTTGAACGTGTATATATGTTACTATAGTTGAACGTGTATATATGTTACTATAGTTGAACGTGTATATAATGGTCACTCAAAAGAAATTCTAGAAAGAAGTACCATTTATAGACGACATGTGTACATTCTATAGACGTGGCCTTTGATTGTAAAACTGCCAGTCAAGGAAAAATGCCAAATGGCCTTTATAGATAGGTGCCTGAGATTTGATGCCTAAGAATGGTTTGACTGTACATATCTGTCACGGGGCTAGGTCTGGCCTGTATTACTGCTCATACCTGTGTTATTGCCCATACCTGTAATGAGGTGCTGGCCCCTGCATGGCTTGCGACATCGCTACGGTCGAGACAACCGTTGGTGTAAATGAAACCGGTATCGGGGGAGGTGGGGGGAAGACCATCCTATTGTGGGGTGATCTCGGAATCGGAGGCGGTGGCTGAGACCTAATCGCTGTAAGGAAGAATAAATATATATGATGTACACGTAGGTAACGTATACACACACAATGTAATCTCAATTTGGTTTTACGAAGTTTAGCAAAAACACTGAATACCATGTGAGATATGTGCTACTAACAAGTTCTACTAACGTAATTCTATACTATAACTATTAACTATATGTTCTTGCCACTAACAAACACTGTTTGGAGCACGACTACTCATCTCATCATCTCACTGTCCAAACAATGTACAACTAACCGTGAGAAGAAACCCTGATATCAGTTGGGTACTGCATCATCGGCTGCTGAAATCTCACAGTGCCACCAGGTGGCGGTGGCGGTGGCGGCGGTGGTTCGTTTGGATACACCTGACCTTGAAAGCCTACATGACACAAAAATATACGAATCTAAAATATTAGCATTGCACGTGGTGTAACATTGCATCTATATATCGATGAGAAATGCCTACAATAGCTCCATGGCCTTAACTTGTCACTCTACGGCTCATGCACCTGCAAAGCTGAATGCAGAACACAAAACGTCTATCTCTTTCCATTTTTGACAGCTGTTTCACACAAAACGGAGGTGGTCAGAGGCTTGAAGTGATCCTACTCCTCTCCTTACAGCAGCCTAACGAATATGTGCCAGGATTTTGATATCTCACACCAGAGAATAATAAAAATTTAAATCTAATTAAATTTATCATATCACTGCACTTATCTGCTACACTACCAGAATAACTGTCATAACTGCCAATAGGTGGCCGCCATATGCTATAATGCGTGCACTATGAGCGTGCACGTGTGCTGTTTGAGTAGCACGGAATCATCTGGAATCTTTCGACTCATCTCTATTCTTTCCATGCTGCATACCTACATAGTTCTGGCTCGCACTAGTGTTTGTCTGTCTTTGTCTCTCTCTCTCTCTGTCTCTGTCTGTGTCTCTCTCTCTCTGTCTCTCTTTGTCTCTGCTTCTGTCATTCTCTCTCTCCCCTCCCACTCTACTCTCGCCTCTCTATCGGTACGTATGCATGCAAGTGCATACGTCTGTGTGTTTGTGTGTGCATACATACATGCACCTACACCCCCTACACACACACACACAGACACACGCACGCACGCATGCACGTATGTACGCATGCACACACCCACATAGATATATGTAATCATACCAGCCGGTTCAAAGAACTGTGCACCAACATCAAGGACAGCACCCTGGTATGGCAGCTGTGCAGAGTCTGGGAGATTCCTCTGTCTCTGTGACGAGTATCGTTTTGCGCCTCGTCCTTCCTGACGTGCCCCCTCTTGCCGGGAAAACCGTGGCGCCACCTGAGCACGCTTGTTGTCATAATTGTTCCGTGGTGAGCGATCGCCTTGCGATGAATCTAGAAGTATTAGAATATGGTTACCAGGCAGTGAATCAACTATAGATACAAATTATCCCAACACGTTTTTTTCCTCACATATCCTTATGCATTATACCGTTTTATTTATTCCGTATACACTAGCAGGAGTTACAACTGCTAATGTTCTCCTAGCAATCGAAAAAGTCATGACGAATACAAACTCACCACGATTTCGGGCGCGCCCAACTGATGATGATGATGATCCTTAAGGGGGGCTTATGACGGGCTTGTGAGCCGACTCGACTGGAAGCAACTGGATTTCGAGCAACTGGAAGCGATCGGCAGCGACTAGTTGCGTCCAGTTGCCCACTGTTCTATTCCGAGCAACTAGTGGCTGCCAGTCGCAGGCAGTCGCGTCGCAGTCGACCGACCTAAGCACTGCAGTCGCAGTGAATTGCAGCCAGTTGCTTCCAGTCGAGTCGGCTCGCAAGCCCAACATAAGCCCCCCTTTATGCAAACGACTTGCATGATTTTATTATAGATTTCAATTTTAATATCGCAGATAAATGGCTCACCCTGGCTGGTCCGGGGGCTCTTCTGCTGTGCACTGGTCTGTTTAGTGGGTTGGACACTGTCCTCTTCATCTCTCCTCTTGCTCTCTGCTGTTCCCTCTTTCTTAGTGCGTAAATCGAGCTTTTCGATTTCAGTCGCTAGGTTCTCATCCGTAACCTCTCTCGGTTTGTGCGCGTTACTGCGCACGCGCGAGTAAGCCTTGGGACCGCTGACCTTATCCGCCATAGGCTGACCGTCGTCCGACGGGTGCGACTTGGGAATGGTCTGCCGCATGTCCTGTGACTTGTTCGCCGTGCCGGCAGGCGCGGTTCCCTCCGACTCGGTCTTAACCAGAGGGCCGTCCCCGCAAACATCCTCGCCGTCCTGCCTGTCGTCCGACGATCGTTGGTGGCCCTGTCTGTAGTCGCGCGACGGCGTGTGACCCTGCGACGACCCCCTGAACCCTCGCTGACCTCCGCGACCGCCTCGACTCGACTGCGTGCGGCCTCGGTTAGACAGCTCGTAGTCGCCGCGAGTCGAGTCGTTTCCTCTGTTCAGTTCCTCGTTGCTGTTGTCTCGTTCATCCTGTCCTCTGTAGGAAGGTCCACCGCGGCCTCCTCTTCCCCTCCTCAGGGGTAGCTCCTTCCTGTAAGCTCCCACGTCCTTCCAGTCTCGCTCGTACTTTGCTTGTCCTCTCCTGTTAGTAAATAAAAAAAAACGTTTTATATACGATAATTATTTATAATTGATATTTAATGATGAATGATTATTGAGATATAGTAATTATGCCTATCAGGATTCTAGCCAATTGAAATGGAATTGGTTTTCTAGCAAAACAAAGTTTTCATTGCGAAATTCACAATGCACTGCGAACTTTCCGTGAGGTGGCATATGCTCCCACACCACTACAAATGAGTGGGTTGCAGGTACCACAGGTCTGTAAATGTCCTGGGGCCGGTTCCACGAAGCGTAATTAAGTCCTTAATCATGATTAAATCACTAATCATGATTAACTTCCCGTACTTAAATTGTAGTGACTGTTTTACGAAGTGTAATTAACTTTAATCATGATTAAGTTAATCACAATATTTAATTCTACTCAGGAGCATGATTAAATCCACTAATCATAATTAGTTGCTAGTACTAGTAGTAATATGTAGGTAGTACTAGTATATTAAGTACGCTGCAGATTTTACAATTGGAAATTTTACTTCAATTTTTTCCCCAAGGAAAGATTTTCCCATTTGCAGATACTTTTGGCGTTGCCCGCCATTTTGAATACAGTGTAAATTCATGTTTAAGTCGGCTAATTATGTGATTAGTTAAATATGTACTTAAATCGCTTCGTGAAACAGATTTTTAAGTATGATTAACTAATCATAATTAACTAATCATAATTACAGAAGGTTAATTATGATTAGTGATTTAATCATAATTAAAGTTAATCACGCTTCGTGAAACCGGCCCCTGGTAGTGTTGTAATAGTGTAGTGTAGTTGTAACATATGCCTATTTTACTAGGCCTGCAGATTTGTAAGGTATGTGCCTTTATCGAGATATTATTCTCGAGCTGAGCAGGACTTCGATTCTTTTCATCCTTGTTTAACACATTTACTGTGTACTTATATTTTTTATTCATTCACCAAGTTTTCTGTTGGGACACTTCTTGCCATCACATTATATATTTGATCAGATTCTTCAACTTTTGTGTACTTGACTACGATGTAGAGATAGAACTTAATCCTAGTCACTTCTTTTTATAACTATCTGCTAGAAGCTGGTCTCCTAAACCTACAATCCTCGAAAGGTATTAATGTTTCTGCCCAAAACTGGGTATGCCAATGTACGCGTGTAGATGCACGTTTATAAATAGATTATTGCTGCTGCGAAATACTACGAGCCAGCGCTGATTTTACATAGAGTGTCGGCATTAGAATGGCACTAGTAGGAACTTATTCTCTCATGTAATCAAGATAAAAACAATCATGCAAATCAAGCAAACCTCCTACATACATGTAGTCTGTGCCAAAATATTACACTCACGTGTATTTCCTTCTGTGTCGCCTCTTCAGGTCTGACTCGGGATTTCTGATGTCATAGCCGTATAGTGCGACCAACTCTTCCCGGCTCTTCGGTGCCTGTTCATCTTCCTTGTAGGCATCATGGAGCCACTTCTCATCCTCTTTTCCCCAGAGCTTTTTTAGCTTCTTTAGCTTCTCCTCCCTGTTGGCAGTGTTTTGTGCACGACAGTTAAATAATCACAAATGTTATCAACAGGTATTTTACACTAACACCCATAAGCAGGGCATGAAATTAGCCAAAATGCGACCAGGCCCACCCAAAATTGTAAACAGGCCCCAACAAATTTGAACAGGCCCTTAATTTTGTTCAATTTATTCCATTATTAATAAAAGTATTAGCTTTGTGTTTATAAGGCATACTCATAGTATTTCAGTATTTCATGCTATCAGTGGATATCATTGTTATTGTTTGACAGGAATTGCTGGAACATGATTTACTTTTTAGTAGTCACTAAGTAAAAACTAGTCAGGAAATCGGTATTGTTGATATAAATGCAAGATAGGCCAAGTGGACCGATTATATGGGAGGGTGAACCGGCAGTTTAGGGGGTTGAACCGGCGGCCGCCGGCAAAATGGTGCTAATTTCGCGCACTGCCCATAAGTTGCTACAACCATCTGATTCCAACATATAACTATCAGCTAAATAGGTGCATTACTGCACAGAAAACGAAGAGGCAATACTTTGCAAGCTCTTCTTTTGGATCCCCCATTCTTGTATCGTGTTCATAGAAGAAGCCCTTCTTGGGGATGTACTGGGGATTCTGTCGATCTTCATCTTTGTCCAACTCTTTTGGCGCTGGCTCCTCCTGGTCAAAGATTGACAGAATAAAGCGAGCGCAGAAACACCAAAGTAATTTTAATTACACACAGTAATTTCTATATGAACAAATGACATAGTAGTTGTGCCGCAATTCCGTATTTCTTCCTATACCTTAAGTTAAGGGGGAAATATTCCCCCTCCATTGACACATCTTGACCTTTAACCCTTGACCCTCAAATTCGACATCCCGAGTCCTTTTTGCGACCCCCCCCCCTCCACGTCCCAAATATCAAGACCGTACGTCGAGCGGTTAAGATTTGTGCCCAACTGTTGACGGACGGACGGATGGACGCTCATGTGATTCTACAAGCTGCATCTGACTATGTCAGATGAGCTAATAATTACAGCATATACAACTGCAAAAGATATTCATCCTTCCCATCAGTCAGTCCCCACAAGTGACCATGAGTCAGTTCTCACCTGGCCATCCCCACTCTCCCGCTCCTTGTCAATAAATTTTTCTTCTTCCACATCATCATACTCTCCTTCTTCTGGTTCAGGAAACAAATATTTTTCCAGGTTCTCATCTCCATAATCTGCTAACTCTTCTGACTCTCCTTTCTCTTTATAGTCCTACAACAGAGAGTTACACATGCGATGTGTATATATGCATGTGATGCAATAGTATATCAGGAACAAGTGGATGAGTAGAGGAGAGGAAAACTTCCTGTACACATAGCACGGTTCTCCCCAAGCATTTAATGCATGTCGGGTCTGATGCGCTTTCAATGCTGAAGCTAATTTGTGACATCCCCATAAATCCTTGGACATCCATATTACTTTAATCGACATGACTTTTAACAACCACAACAGTCCTGCTGTTTCACAGCCTTTCGTATACGTCTCCAACTGTCCAAACTGATAGACTTTGCCTGTGTATTAGGGTCGCTTATGCCGTGTAATTGACTACAATGGCTACAACCCCTCCCGGGCCCTCAACTATCCATCCAATAACGACATTCCTGAAATTCATGGGGGAAACACTGTAGAGTATAGCGATACATGTTTACTTTACCAGTAACAAAGGATTTCCAACTCAGATGATATAGGTAATTCTCTACAAGAAATGTTGCAGTACATAAAAACTAATATACCGGTAACAGGCTTCAATTTCCTAATATAAATTATAATGATTGATACGCAACACGCTCCTTTCACTTTACCCCGCACTCCTGTAATATTACAAAAAATATGCCGCATTTCCCATGTTGTTTTTAGTACTCCTGCTACAGATTTATGCAATTGATACAGTAGTAGAAAACATCTTCTCCACCCTTAATTTATATCGTTAGGCTTGATGATGTAAAAACAAAGAGGTAGAGCAAAAACCAGTAGCACCAGACAGACTAGTGTAACCGAGACAGGCAGCAAAAACAGAGAGTGTAGCTGTTACAACACTTCATGCTGCAAATGATGGCTTGTGATTACAATTTTTATAACTACAGATAGTTTAACGGCAACAAATATATTTGGAGATAGTGATGCTGTATTTAACAATTACAAAAAGCACATATGTCACATTGGATAACAGCTATCTTCTATAATGGACAGAGCTTAACAGCTTGTTAAATCTAAAATCATTGTTACAGCCATACCTCCTTGTCATCTTCCTCTGCACTCCCATACTCTGATAGCTCAACATCTGAAACATATCCAAACAAATAATTATATTTCTGCATTATTTGCGAATGGCATAAAAATGCATAAAATCACTTTGGAAAAACATACATAGTCTATAGTCAAGCCTACTGCCATGAGCAGTAAAATTTTAACATATTTATTACATGGTTATGAATATAATTATGTGCAACATAATCTTCCACATGAAACAATCATCGTTCCAATTACAGTTAAAAACATATTACTAATATCTTCAAACTGTAACCTAAAGAAACAGGGCAATGCATTAACTTGCGAACAGTACAGAAATGAATGATAGATAAATTTGTGTGTACGGTACAATAATTTTAGCACTGACTTAATGTGAAAGGAAAAATATTACATGTTAATTATAGCAAAATAGATCACGAACAATTTCACCGCCCGACTTATACCGAATTACTCTGTTAAAAATAATATAGGAACTCCCCACCCCGTGCATGCAGAAAAAGTGCACAAACACATGCTGTACACAGATGTATAGGTAAAGAAACATGGAAGACACACCCACATGTTATAAGGACCACTGAAGTAATACATGCAAACCAACACCATCCAGCCAGACAATCACAATCTTGTGAAATCCCCTCACTTTAGTATCCACCACAACAGAGCCGATAACTTAGTTATTTCTTGCGCATATTCCAATTATCTCTACAAAGCATGCATGGCTGTTACGCGGATATAAACACGTGCAGCGATCTCTGAACACTCACCAAAGACAGGAAAGTATTAGGTGCCTCTGTAGCTAATTGGGAAGCAGGGGTAACCAGAATGATGTACAGTATGTCAGTGGGGGCAGTCAGCAAGTACATGTCAGTTGGGTGAATATAGTGAGAAAGTCCCCCTACTGAAGAATGCCAATGATCCAAGCAAAGGAATGCATCAGATGCATTCCTACCATGCTACCAACACATATATGCCATATCGCTAATGATACTTTAAGTTTAAGACTAGCTTGTTCCCTTTTCAGGCGTTCATATCTTACCCTTTTTCGTGTCTTTGCATGGAATAGTAAATAGGAAATATGCCATTGAAATACATACATGATAAAAAGACAACCACTACTATACAATTATCAGACTGACTACGTAAGTTTTTGTTGGCATCAACAACTGACGAACACACTAGAGAAAGTTCAGTAACCGGTTAGCATGCATTGCCAGAAGGGTCTGTCTATATACTGCAATGCCAAATTTTGTCGTTGCCAAGACGGAGACTGCGAGTTTTTTAAGTGTGTTCTCCATCTGTTTTCAATCAAGAACACCTAGTATGCTATAATTCCCACTCATTCATTAGCTAGAGGAGAACGTCATGGGACCGAGTTGAAAAGTTAATCTGGAGTTGGTTCACGAATTTTATGATTCTACTTCGAGCTTTACGTACACATACACATGTCATGTGCTGATGGATTCAAGGAGTCAGTATAGTACTACTATACTACAGGTATTTCTACTTTCACTATCAGTCATTATAATAATAATAATGACACACTAAAACTGTCACAAACTTTTAATGGGAACTTCTTCTTAAAAGAAATTCTTGAAAACAGTTTTAAAAGAAATAAGAAATATTTTAACTGCTAAAATTGTCATAGAACACGTTTCTATGATGAAGGCACGTTCACTGCCAAATCTTCACAGCTTTTAAACGATTATTGTAAGTATAATATTGCAAAGGTCTAATACTTCTCTCAAATTCAAAAACATTTGATGTTTAAAAAATAACACTTAATATTAAATTAATTGCCAACAGTTGGTCATTACCAAAGCAGTGAATGAACATTAACAAAATCTAGAATATAACAAATAACTAGATCACATACCTTTTTCGTCAAAACCACCCTCGCTCTCCTACAAGACAACAGAAAAACACTATTAGATAGCTAGTAGTCTAGAAACCAGCAATAGTAGTTATTTATTAAAAAAATTATAAATCTAATCACGTCTTTATCTACTCCTGATCTAATCTATCAATTATTTCTCGTTTTCCATAAACTGCCAGACCCATTGCAATCACGGATAGATTTTTTTACTGCTGAAATGAAGTAACTTTTAATGTTTGGATTAAACTTATGAACTGGTAAGTTGATTACTGAAAACAAGTAGTCCTTAAGATTCAATGAATTTCACACACACGCGCACCCCGCGCACACATCCATGTGAAATGTGAATATGCATTACATGACACTCCTACAGCCTATCACTCCTCCTATGCAGATCTCACATTAAATGCAAGGCTAACATGACTGTCACTTAGATTGGAAATTGAGAACTTCCTTCCCATAGTAATCTGAAATGGGTCATTTGACTCAGTGGCGCTTGAATGGATTTGATATTTACTTCCGACCTGTCAATGACATTTGGGACCATGCCCCAGTTTATAGAACATAAACACTGTAGGTAAACCACTTAGATACATGCAACCATGGTGTAAGGACATCCAACACATACATACTATAACCTCTATTTATATGACTACAGAGACAAGCAAAACACCAAATAATGTCCCATTTTTAAAAACATGACATTTTAGTTACCAGCATAGCAGCAACATTTTCCATTTCCAATGGGTACTGAATGTGACCCTGGTTATTACATGACAATACTAAGCAAATGTAAAGACTCATGAAACTCATGGGAAACCATTATAGACAAATTGACAACTGATTCACCTGTAGAGTTGGGTACCGCAAAAATTTTTGTACCGCGGTATACCATGGTATTTTACCAAAGTACCACGGTATTACCGCAATTTCAAGAACAGGTCAGAAGAATATAACTCGCGCACACAGTGTACGCGCGCGTGTGTATGATGCGTACACGGGCCGCACACAGTGTAGTGTACGTGCGTGTGTATGATGCGTGCATGGGACGCATACACTGTACGCGCGCGTGTGTGATGCATACACGGGCCCCACACAGTGTACGCGCGCGTGTATGATGCGTACACGGGCCGCGCACAGTGTAGTGTACGCGCGTGTGTATGATGCGTGCATGGGCCGCATACACTGTACGCGCGCGTGTATGATGCGTACACGGGCCGCACACAGTGTACACGGGCCGCATACGGTGTACGCGCGCCGGTGAAGTAATGAAGTATGTACAAATAAAACAGCGCAGACTATCTACTAGGCATATAGAATAGGTGCTAGAGATATGCGTATATAGCGTGAATGGTGTCGATCGACAAAGATGAATTTATAAAGCTATGCAAAGTATAAGCCGGTACACCACTACACCACACAAAGTATCGCTGTACGTACCGGTACAGGTCACGTACCGCGGTATACTGGTAATACTGCGCACCTCTATTCACCTGTTTGGTCTGAATAACGATGTTTCTGTAAGTTAACTTTCATTATATGGGGCAGAGCTTAATGGTGCGAGTATAACGCATCTACTGAACTACGAACAAAACATCTAGGTCGTAGGTTACCTGCTTAGAAATATGGGTCAGTGTACAACTGACTAACGGTTACTTGGAAAATCTTCAATCATTTATACATCTTGTGATTAAATTTTCTTACTGCCAGCAAAAATGTTAGATCACGACCACTAGTGATATATTTTTGCTACCCACTAATAAAATACAAGGATGGGGAATATGTGAAACAGGGTGCGAAATTAACGGAGGAAAAGTAAAGTACCGTCAGGAGTAAAATACTCCCTGATTTCAATGTATAGTTTTAGTAACTTTCTCAAACTTGTTAAAAATAACGCTGTGGCTATATGCCCGGCAGCCGGCACCCTAACCCTCCTGTTTACTTGA